GCAGCTCCCGGCGCCTCTCCCGGCACGTCGGGGCACCTGCTGCAGGTTGGTGGTCCCCAAACGTGGTGGTGAGAACACCCGGTGGTGAGTTTTGGGCGATTTGGGTAATGGTTTTCGAGCGCTGGCTGGCCCGGGAGACGCAACACCTCGTGGCGACCCCGCGTGTCCCCAAACCCGGCGGTGACCCAGAATTACCTTTTGGGGGAATCGGGGTCACCACCGGGTGTCTCACCACCTGGTTTGGAGACCACCAAGCAGGTGCCGAGAGGGGGCCGGCGCTCTGGGGTGGTCCTGGCGCTCCGTGCGGGGCGCGCCTCCGCCCCGTGCCGGGCCCCGTCGCCGTGGCGCTGGTTGGGGAAGACCGCGCGGGTGGCGACGGCCGCCCCCTGGGCAGAGGGCGTGCGGCCGTGGAGCCGCAGCGCGGCCTCGGACACGCAGAGAAAATCGCCGACGCCGCCGACGACGTCTGGGCACCCTGCCCCAAGTGCTGGCGAGCGTGCGCTCGCTCACGCCGGGCGAGCCGCGCTGCGAGGCGCCCGTCCTCCAGTGCTTTCTGTTGCGTCGCGTCGGCTGCGGCATCCGCCGCTCGTGGGCGACGGCCGCGCGCGCGCGCCCTGGGCGGCCCCGCGTGGCCAGGCGCTGCCGCTCGCAGGGCGAGCGTCTGCCCGCGCCCGCCCCCGCCCCCCTCGCATCCGCCCCCCCGCCCTCGAAGCAACGCGGTTTGAACAGGTCCGGTGGACTGCCCCGGTGGAGGATGCTGCCGGCAAAGTTCCACTGCAGAGCATCGCGAAGTGAGTTCCAGCGCCCCAGCGTCCCCGCTGCGCTCTCAGAGGGCCGCGCTCCGGCGCGAACTGCGGCGTCCGTCTGTCCGTTCGTTCCCTCCCTCGAATGTCCCCTCTCTGCGCGCCCGGCCTCGGTCGGCATTTCCCCGCTGGGCCCTCCCCACTCTCCGCCCCGAAGGCTTCGCGACCGTCGTGTCGGGGCGCGGGTGCCGCTCCTAGGCGCGAGCGCCCTCGGCGACTCCAACGCGCCTCCTTGCCGCGCTCTCTGCGGAACTGTCGTGGATCAGCCAGTGCCCGCGCCGGGCGTCGCGTGGGTCCTGGGCAGAGGGGCCGCGAAGATCCCGTCCGAGGTGATGGTTGCTGCTCTCAGGGATGCGGGCGCGTGCCCCGCGCGCATCGCAAGGCTCTGAAGGCCCTGCCCCTCCTCCACATCGGGAATTCCTTAGGCTTCGCCCCAGTAGTTGCCTCGTTTCGTCCCGCTCTCTGGAATGCCGCTGCGTGCATTCGCATTTGTACTCCGGCGTTGGCTTTTGGCCCGCTGGCAATTATCTGGCGTGCTGCCCCATGCTCGATACGACCCGCTCTTTGGAATCGTCCTTGGAACCGCAGATCAAAAACCCAGTAGTTGCCTCCTCGCTTTCGCCTGCCTCCTCTCGTGTCGCCTCCACATCAGGCGCCCTCCTGCTTCCATCATCGGGTGCTTTCCCCTTCTCCCCTCCTCTTCAGTCCCTCCCCCCCCTTCCAGCGGGCATCCCGTCGGCGCTCGCTGCCGTCGACGTTGGCCTCGTAACCAGATGCCTGTTCCACGCACCAGCGTTCGGGGTGCTGTGCGACCGGGGCGGGGCGTGGGCGCGCGCGCTCCGCGTGCATCGGAAGGCTCTGCTGAAGGCCCTGCTCCTCCTCCACATCTGTCAAGGGCAGAAAAAACGCCCCTACCCTGCTTTACGAGGCGCTGTGCTCTGAACCTCCTGTGGGCTGACAGGGTGAACCCTGCGTGATGTGCCGCGTCCTGGCGGCTCTAGGCGTTGGGGGTTCCCAGGAGGTTTACAGACCACGCACTTGTAATCCAGGGTAGGGTCGTTTTTTCATCCCTCAAATCTGGAATTCCTCAGGCTTCGCCCCCTCCCCCCCCCCCTTCCAGCGGGCATCCCGTCGGCGCTCGCTGCCGTCGTCGTTGGCCTCGCAACCAGACGCTCGTTGCGCGCGCCAGCGCTCGGGGCGCTGGGCGGCCCGGGGGCAGGAGGTGGGCGCGTGTGTCGTGGGCCGCCGCGCGCCTGCCCCGCGAGGCCCTTCGCCCTCCCTCCACGCTCCTCCTCCTCCTCCTCCTCCTCCTCCTCTCCTCCTCCTCCTCCCTCCTCCTCCTCTCTCCTCCTCCTCCTCCTCCTCACTCCTCCTCCTCCTCCTCCTCCTCCTCCTCCTCCTCCTCCTCCTCCTCCCTCCTCCTCTTCCTCCCTCCTCCTCCTCCTCCTCCTCCTCCTCCTCCTCCCTCCTCCTCCTCCTCCTCCTCCTCCTCCCTCCTCCTCTCCCTCCTCTCCTCCTCCTCCTCCTCTCCTCCTCCTCCCCCTCCTGCTCCTCCTCCTCCTCCTCTCCTCCTCCTCCCTCCTCCTCCTCCTCCTCCTCCTCCTCCTCCTCTTCCTCCTCCTCCTCCTCCTCCTCCTCCTCCTCCTCCTCCCCTTCCTGCTCCTCCTCCTCCTCCTCCTCCTCCTCCTCCTCCTTGTCCCTTCGCGCCCGCCGCCCCCCCTTTCGCCGCCCCACCCCCCAGGGCTGTTCCAGTCTGCGGCGTCGAGCGAATGGGCGGGTCTCCGGTTCTCTTGGGGGGCGACTTCGGTTGCGTCGTTCCTCGGTAAGACGATGCGGGGAAGGCCTGAATTCTCTTCGTCGGCCTCCTCCGTCGCGTGCAATCTCTCGTCGGAATCCCGCCAACGTGGCCGGGGCCGTGTGGGAGCTGACAACAATGCATCGCGCGCCAAACGCTAGACTGCGCTGGCGCGCCTATCAGTGTGTCTGTCTTTCTGCGTGGATGGATGTGTATTTGCTTGCCCCTGTGCGTGTGTGTGTGTGTGACCTTGCCGCCACCTCGCTGCTGGAGGGAAAAGTGGCGTGTGTGTGCGTGTGTGTTTGTGTGTGTGTGGGTGTGTGTTCGGTGCTGCGCCGTCTTCCCTGGCCTGCCTTGCTCCTCGTGCTCGCCGGTCCTGCTGGTGGCAGTTTGCCTCGCCTTGTCTGCTCATGTGCTGTCGCACTGGCCCGTCGGCGGACTCCCTCGCCTCTCCGCCCGCCCGTCCTGCCCCATCTTCTGAGGGGCCATCCGCGCGTGTCTACTGCTTTGCTTCGCCCGACCTTCACGCCTCGACGCCGTGCGCGAGGCAGCGGCGCCAACACACATATATATATATATATTTATATACATCTCGTGTGTACACATTTTTATATGCGCACATCTTTAGATGTGTGTGTATATATATAGATACATTATACACCTCCGTGCGTGCGTGCGTGCGTGCGAATGTGCGCGTGTGTGAGAGAGACAGAGAGAGCGTCTATGTTTATTTTTGTAACTTTAGGTTGTATTGTTTGGTTTGATTTTTTTTGCTTGTGAACATTATTGCTATATTGTTGTTGTGGTTGTGGGTGTTGTTGTGGTTGTGGTTGTTGTTGTTGGTACAGTTGTTGTGATTACTATTGTTGTTGTTGTTGTAGTTGAATTCCCATTTCTAAAAAACAATTATTGCTGATCACCCCCTCTTGGGCACATGGTGTTTTTCAATTGAAGTGCCCTCCCTGGGGCTTGCCCCCTGCTTTGTATCAGGGAACGTCTTGAATGTCAGAACTGTGTTGTTGGCCCCCTGTTTACAAGAACAGCAGCTCCCTCCTGATACTTCCTCACAATTTGTTGAAGAATCTCGCTCTCGCGAGGGACTTTCTCACAATTTATGTAGGAATCGTGCTCTGGCGTGGGACTTCCTCGCAACTTATTCAGACGATGCGCCCTCGGCGCTCAGGAATCACGCTCTCGCTCTGGCCTTTCTCCCGGTTTGTTTGAGAATCGCGCTATCTTTCGAGACATCCTCGCGATTCATGCAGGACCCACGGCTGCAAAAAATACACGTGGCAGGTAAGGAAGATATACCCCCAAGGGGGTACGATCGAAGACGACGAGGGCGAGTACCGAGGGTTTGGAATATATGTATTGGATGGCACGTGAGCAGATAGGATCGAAGAGTCTTAGCATCATTGTTGTTGTTGCTGTTGTTGTTGGTGTCGCTGTTGTTATTATTATTGTTGTTGTTGTTGTTGTTGTTATTGTTGTTATTGTTGTCGGTCGTCGTCGTCGTCGTCGTCGTCGTCGTCGTCGTCGTCGTCGTCGTCGTCGTCGTTGTTGTTGTTGTTGTTGTTGTTGTTGTTGTTGTTGTTGTTGTTATTGTTGTTGTTCTCGTTATATTATCATTACTCGTGCCATTCTTCTTCGTCTGCCTATGATCAGCACTCGTATTCTCGTTATCCGTTTCGCTCTTTATATTGTTATTCGTGCTATTGCTGTTGTTGTCGCTACTGTTATTTTTGAATTAACCTGTGATATCAGTATCATTATCGTTATCGTTATCATCATCCATCATCGTATTTTGATACCATTATATGCATACGCATGTTAACACGAACGACGCAAGTCTGCTGGCCTGTACGTCGACCATCCCCAAATACGTCTTGATGCGGCATGTGCGGCTGAGGGGACTCCCAGAACAGCCCGGCCTTGGAATTCAGACCCTCGTCGACCCTCCTCCCTTCCCTTTTCCTCCCTCCCTCCCGCCCTCCCTCGCCCTCCCCCCGCGTCGGTCCTCGGTCCTCCATCTTCCCCCCTCTGCTCACTCTTCCTCCTGGGGCGCGTCTGGCTTCCGGCGGCCCCGCCCGCTCCCCCCCCCCCAAGGACGGGAGGAGGAGAAGGAGGAGGAGGAGGAGGAGGTAGGAAGGAGGAGGAGGGAGGAGGAGGAGGAGGAGACGAGGAGGAGGAGGGAGGAGGAGAGGAGGAGGATGCGGAGGATGCGGAGGAGGAGGCGGAGGAGGAGGAGGAGGAGGAAGGAGGAGGAGAGAGGAGGGAGGAGGAGGAGGAGGAGAGGAGGAGGAGGCGGGGAGGAGGAGGAGAGGGAGGAGGAGGAGGAGAGGAGGAGAGGAGGAGGAGGAGGAAGAGGAGGATGGGGGAGGGGGATGAGCCCCCCCCCCGAGGATGGGCAGGACGGCCGCTTCCAGCTCGCCCAGTGGCAGCAGCACCGCCCCTGGCGGGAGGGCCCAAGTCCCACGGACGCCCCGCGGCCCCCGCCCGCCGAGCGGGGGGGAGTGAGGGCGGGGGTGTCACGGGAGTGGAGGGGGGTGGGGGGCGAGGAGGAGAAGGGGGAGGGGGAGGGGGAGGAGGGAGTGGGAGGGCGGGGAGGAGGAGGAGGAGAACGAATAGGAGGAGGAGGCGGAGGAGGAGTGGGAGGAGGAGGAGGCGGAGGAGGAGGGTAGGGGGCGAGGAGGAGGAGGAGGAGGAGGAGGAGGAGGAGGAGGAGGATGCGGAGGATGCGGAGGAGGAGGAGGAGGAGGACGAGGAGGGCGAGGAGGACCTAAACCCATGACGCATCTACTAGAGTGCAATGAGCCCTCCTCGAAGTTCCCTCTTCATAGGCCCCTGTACAAGGGTCCGTTTTCGTTGAGGGAACTGCCGCGCTGGAAGACAACCGTTTGAAAATCCAGAACTGTGCCAGAACACCGTTCCTGGGACGGCAACGCCGCGAATCACCGTTACTGCTGCGTCTTGACGACACTGAATCCTGCCAGAGCAAATTTCCAGGGACCTCAAGACCACGAATCAACGTGACTGTTGCGCCCTGACATTCCGACATCGTGCCAACACATGCTTTCTGAGACGTTCACACTCCGAGTACTTGAACCCGTTGCAAGCTCTTGAGACGAACGTGCGCGGCGCTGAGGCGCGAGCCATGTTTTCGAAAAGAGGACCGCCCTTTGACAGAGAAGCTGTTACGAGCTTTCAGCACGGATGTGCGCTGAAGGTCGAGGCCCTGCGGCGCACGGACGGGGAGCGAGTTCACCGACTCCCACTTGCGAGGTAAACAGTGCGCCGGCAGCAGTAGCAGCAGCGTTGCTGATGTGCGCGACGCCAAGGCGAGCGCCATATTTTGGAAGCGGACCGCCCTCCACCCGTGCAGCCCTTGACATTTTGCAAGACGAATGTGCACGGCGCGGAGGCGAAAACCACATTCTGAAAACGGCCCGTCCTCCCCCCCCTACCCCACCTCCTCCTCCTCCTCCTCCTCCTCTCCTCCTCCTCCTCCTCCTCCTCCTCCTCCTCCTCCTCCTCCTCCCCCTCCCCCTCCTCCTCCTCCTCCTCCTCCTCCTCCTCCTCCTCCTCCGCCGTAAAGCCTTTTGCAGTTTTTTAGGCGAGTGCGTGCGGCGCTAAGGCGATGGCAACATTTTGAAACCACGCGCCCTCCATCCGTGAAGTTCTGGCAAGTTGTCAAGACGAATGTGCACGGAGCTAAGGCCAGAGCCTCTACTTTGAGAACCACCCGCTCTACTTTGAGAACCACCCGCCCTCCATCCTTGAAACCGTTGCAACGTTTAAGCTTCATGATCGTAAATGGCGGGGAAGTCTTAGGCGAAACGCCAGACCCGCCCTTTCGACCATCCTCGGGGTGCGAGAGGAAGAAGTGTTTCGTAAGGAAGAGGGACGGATGATGCTGCTGCTGCTGATGATGATGCTGATGATGCTGCTGCTGATGATGATGATGCTGCTGCTGCTGATGATGATGATGATGATGCTGATGATAGTGGTGGTGGTGGACATGGTGGTGGTGGTGATGATGATGAGGAGGAGGCGGAGGAGGAGAAGGAGGAAGAAGCGGAGGCGGAGGCTGAAGAGCAACAGGAGGAGGAGGAGGAGGAGGAGGAGGAGGAGGAGGAGGAGGAGGTGGACGAGGAGGAGGAAGAGGAAGAGGAATGGGAAGAAGAGGAGAGGAGGATGTTGTTGAGGAGGATGAGGATGAGGAGGAGGAGGAGGAGGAGAAGGAAGAGGATATTGTCCTAGTGAATCAGGTGACATCAGAAGAGATAACCTCTGGCGGACTCGGGGTTGGAATCCGCTCTGGACCCGTCGCGACGGGCTCTCTCCTCTCCAAACGCCTGGACACGCGGCAAAGCGCCTTCGAGCAAGCCGAAGGATTACAGTACAGCCTCCCTCGCAGCAAAACCAGAAGCAGCGTGCCAGCTCGGCACCACTGAGGCTCGGTCGCCAGGAGGCGGCGGAGACAAAATCGCTTGGCTCATGGTTTTCCGATCCATGCTGGACAGAGGACCAGGGAGACTGAGCACCAGTTCTCTGGAGGTCGCACGATCACGGGGCTCGGTGCCCACTCGCTGCGCGATCGGACTCGAGGCCTGCGCTAGTGGGCACACTTTTGCACAGCGTTCGAAGCATTCAGCCTGGCTCCTCCTCCTCCTCTTCCTCCTCCCCCTCCCCCTCCCCCTCCTCCTCCTCCTCCTCCTCCGAAAGTCTGGGCAGTGCGCTCCGCCACGAGAACAACAAGCTCGCCGCCGCCACTGGGCACGGGGCGACTCGGCAGCGCACGTGGGGGAGCCCGTGACCCCAGACGCAGAATGCCTCGGGGGCCACCAGAGGAAAGCGTCTTTCCAATCTCCCCGCGCCCCGAGGAGGAGGGGGAGGAGGAGGAGGAGGAGGAGGAGGAGGCGGAGGCGGAGGCGGAGGCGGAGGAGGAGGAGGAGGAGGAGGAGGAGGAGGAGGAGGAGGAGGAGGAAGAGAGGAGGAGGAGGAGGAGGAGGAGGAGGAGGAATTGCGTCTTTCCCATCTCCCCGCGCCCCCGCACCGCCGCCGTCCACCCCGCCCCCTCCCGCGGGCGGGCCGCCGCCAGTGGCGTGCCCGTCTTCGCCTGGGGCTCCTGCTCCTGGGGCTCTGCAGGCACCGCTGGCTTCGGCCCCGCGGCCTGAGCCGACAGCGTCCGCGCGTGGGGAGCTCGAAGAAGAAGACACGGACGAGACATAAACTTTTGGCGCTCCGCGCGGATTTCCTGGATCCACGCTGGGAGGGGGGGTCCAGCGCGGATCCAAGAAGTCCGCGCGGAGCGCCAAAGGTATACGTTTACGGTGTTTTTTTCCCTCTTCTAGGAGCAGGAGGCAGCAAGGTGGACCTCCAACTCGCCAGCCCTTTGCCCCCCCCTTCGCGCACCAGCTCGCGGAGCCCACGCACAAGGTCAGCGTGGTTTTGTGGAACACCGTGGATGAGCGCACGCCAGCCTTCGCGTACGTGTCAGCACTCGCGTTGGCTTTCTTATCCCACTGGGTGGTCCTGCCCTGGTCCACGTCGACTGATGTTGCATCGGCCAGGGCCTTGCGGGCTTCAAAGTCAGACTCCCGAACGCTGCTCCAGAACAAGGGGGCCCACATGTGCCCTCTGGGGGGCTTCCGCGGACGAGCCCGAAGCAGAGCCCTTCTGCAGAGCCTCTCAGGTCGCAGCACATTCCAAATACAGCTGAACTGGCGGCATGCCTGCCTTGGACAGCATGTGAATAGCATGGTCCTCTCCATCCTTCGAGGTCTGGCGAGGTCCCGCCTCGAGCGGCACGGGCCCGCAGGCCGCGGAAGCGACTCTCCCGAACCTGTCTGCTCGGACCAGCGCCCAACCCGCTCTGGCCACTCCAGGCAGTCTGAACACGCCCGAGCCGTCTGGAGAGGTGCAGCCCGTGAGCAGGCCCGGCGCTGGCCTGCCGGTCCAGTGGATCGTCTCCTGTGGTGCCTCCCTGGGCATCTGAGCGAGGAGGAGGAGGAGGAGGAGGAGGAGGAGGAGGGGGGGGAGGAGGAGGAGGAGGAGGAGGAGGAGGAGGAGGAGGAGGAGGAGGAAGGGGGGGGCAGAAGAAGAGAAGCGACGGAAAGACGCCGCGAGCGAACCTTTCTCGGGCGATCGCAGACATGGATCAAGGGGGCGTGGATTAGCGACCCGCGGATTTCCGCCGCCGAGCGAGGCGGCCCTGGCCGCATTCTCGACCGCGCGCCAGATCCATGGACCGCTAATCCATGTTTGCGCGCCCTCGACTTTCCCCGAAACTCCCGACCCGTCTCCGGCGCCCCCTCCGCCCTTTCTCTCCGAGCCAGGCTGCGACCTCGTCTCCGCGCAGACCGTCGGTGGCCCCGCACCTGTACTGGCGGTGCCACGGCGGCGGCGAAGCGCACAGCCCGTGCGCAGAGACACAGGCCTGGGGCCACTGAGCGTCAGGCACCACGCTGCAGAAAGCACGCTGTTGATGGGGGTCCAGGCCGAGGTAATTCTCAGCAGTCCCGAGACTCCCTGCCAGAAGATGGGACACAAGGGCCTTCAGGCCCTTGGCATCACCTTGCGACCCGTGCTGACCCTGGGCCTGACGATGTGAAGACCTGGTGGTCGTCGTCGTCGTCGTCGTCGTTGTTGTCGTCATTGTGTCGTCGTCGTCGCCGCCGTCGTCGTCGTCGTCGACGTCGTCGTCGTCGTCGTCGTCGTCGTCGTCGTCGTCGTCGTCGTCAGCGTTGTCGTCGTCGTGGTCGTTGTCGTCGTCGTCATCGTCGTCCCCATGATGGTCGTTGTCGTCGTCGTCGTCGTCTTCGTCGTCGTCGTCCTCGTCGTCCTCGTCCTCGTCGTCGTCGTCGCTGTCCTTCGCCTGGGCCCTAGGACGCAGAGAAGAGCTCGTACGACAGGGAGCTGCTCGCGGTGGTGAGCCCGCGGCGCCACATGGCAAAGGCGCGGGCCAGTGCCCCCCCGCCCCCGCCCATGCTTCCGCCAGAGGAAGGAGAGGATGATGATGATGATGATGCTGATGCTGATGCTGATGATGATGATGATGGTGGTGGTGGTGGTGGTGGTGATGATGATGATGATGAGAATGGTGAGAATGATGATGATGATGATGATGATGATGATGATGATGATGATGATGATGATGCTGATGATGATGATGATGATGATGATGCTGCTGCTGCTGCTGCTGATGGTGGTGGTGGTGGTGGTGGTGGTGATGATGATGATGATGATGATGATGATGATGATGGTGATGATGATGATGATGATGATGATGATGATGATGATGATGATGATGATGATGATAAGGAGGAGGAGGAGGAGGAGGAGGAGGCGGAGGTGGAGGCGGAGGCGGGAGGCGGAGGCGGAGGGGAGGAGGAGGAGGGAGGAGTAGGGAGGAGGAGGAGGAGGAGGAGGAGGAGGAGGAGGAGGAGGGAGGATGAGGGGGAGGGGAGGGGGAGAGGAGGAGATGGAGGAGGAGGAGATGGAGGAGGAGGAGGAGGAGGAGGAGGAGGAGGAGGAGGAAAAGGAGGAGGGGGAGAAGGAGGAGGAGGAGGTCGAGGAGGAGGAGGTGGAGGAGGAGGAATAACACTAAGACGAATCGTATTGAGATGTATTCTATGAATACGAATACTATGAATGCGAGTGACACTATTATCATTATTCAGTATGAAGATAGTAAGAACAATCTTACTAATACTGAGAAGTCGGACTAATACTATTACGAGTAATACGGACTAATACTATTACGAATAGTACGGATAAGGAAACGAATCACACTACGAGCAATACTACACCTAAACAGTATGATTAATACTACCACTACTAATACTATAATACGAATAATATTGATAATGCCAATAATCGTAACAAACCATGTACTATTATTACTATTATCATTATTATTAATACCATTATTTTTAGTTATTATCTTTATAATTATGAATAATACTATCATTAGTACCTATATTGTTAATGATAGTTCGAAATTTTAGTGGTAATACTAATCATAGTAATACTAATACTACGAGCAAGACGAATCTTCATAATGTGGTTGCTACTTCTAATAATATTGAGAAGAGTCCGAATACTACTACTCAACACACCAATAATGATACTAAACATATGGAACAAAATAAAATGATGATGATGATGATGATGATGATGATGATGATGATGATGATGATGATGATGATGATGATGATGATGATGATGCTGATGATGATGATGATGATGATGATGCTGATGCTGATGCTGATGCTGATGATGATGATGAGATGATGATGATGATGATGATGAGATGATGAGGAGGAGGAGGAGGAGGAGGAGGAGGAGGAGGAGGAGGAGCCAAACGTGGAGCCTTGCTTCGCCTGTCGCGGCTGGGCGCCCGTCCAGGGGCGCGTGGTGGGGAGGGGGGCCGCGCGGTCTCGGGAGGCGCCCGCCCCCTGCAGCAGGGGCGCCAGAGGGCGGGGCCGCCGTCGATCCCCTGTCGGCAGCCGCAGAGGGCGCAGTTGCGCCGGGTGTGGCCTGCGATCTGCATCGGCTGGGTGCTGAAGCTCCAGAGGCGACGATAGGGGCGAATGGCCCAGGAGGAGAGCAATACGTGTATTGTGAAGGCCGGACGACCGGTGCCGCCGACTCTGAAAGACATCGACGACGACCAGGAGGGGGAGGAGGGGGAGAAGGAGGAGGAGGAGGAGGAAGAGGAGGAGGAGAGAAGGAGGTGGAGGAGCAGGAGAAGGAGGAGGAAAAGGACTCCCCCCTGGGACCCCCTCCCTCCTGAGGAGGACCGCGGAGGAGGACCGGCGTGGGAGAGGGGAGGGCAGGGGGAGGACCCCCAGAGACGGATGCGTATCTAACTCCACTCCCCCCCTGGGACTCTTCCCCACCTGGGGAGGAGGACCCGAGGAGGACCGGCGCGCTGGAGAAGGACCAGCGTGGGACAGGATGACCCCCGCGAATTGGATTGCCCCCCCCCCTCCCGGGATCCCCCCCCTGCTAGGGAAGGGACAAATGGAAGGGGCTTCCTTTTGACGTAATGAGGACGTGGATGGAATTCCCTCAAGCTGCGAACCCGAACCCCGAACGAGGAAGGGTGCTCTCTCTCTCTCTCTCTCCCGACGGGAGAGGAGGATGGGAAGGAGGGGACGAAACAAGGCTCCCCGTCGACGGGACCGGACAGACGCCCCACGCACGCCGACAGGGTCGGCGGATTCGGGGGCGCCGATGATCTATGTCTTCGACAAGGTTCCCGGGCGAGTGCGTGTAATGTTAAGTCGGGCCTGTCCCCCTACAGGGGGATCTTCGAGGAAAATAAACAATTCTCCGAAAATACACCCAAAAGGTAACACGCAAATATTCAAAAAATAGTCCCCAGACTATTTTTTGGATTATTTTTGGATTTTTTTTTTTTTTTTTTTTTTTTTTTAAAATTTTTCGTCGAAAACCCCCCTGTAGGGGGACAGGCCCGACTTAAGTGTAATGCCCGCCCCTGGGCTATTCGCCCTTCTCATCGCCGCCGATCTGAAGGGGGGCGCCGCGCTGCCCTCGTCGGGCCTCGCCGGGGCGCGGTGGAGAGCGCCGCCGACGGGCCGGGCCCGTCCCCCCCCCGGGTGCGGGTTCCAAGGCGCACCCCTGCAGACCACACCCTTCGAAGTCGCCGGCCCCGATAGGGGGCCGCATGCGAACCCTACCCCTACCCCCCACGATTTCTGAGGGGGAGGGTGGGGTTCACTTCGCTCGGGAGCTCCCGAACGAGGTGAACCCCGCCCTCCCCCCGCAGAAATCGTGGGGGGTAGGGGTAGGGTTCGCATGCGGCCCCCTACCCGAGATGCTCCCCGAGGGCGCAGGGGCGGGAGCTCCAGCAGGTTCGGGCCGTGCCGCGCGGCCACGCGCAGAGGGGGTTGGGGGGAGGGGGGAGGGCTTCTCGGAAGCGCCCCTGCTTTTTTTAGAAGCCGCGGGCCTTCTCTATAGATGCAAGGCCGGCGCCTTCTAAGAAGCAGCCTCCTTCTAAGAAGCCCTCCCCCCTCCCTCCACCCCCTCGTGCGCACCGCCAGGCCGCGGCGGCGAACCTGGTGCGGGCGTTCCACGCGGAGCGCCGCCTCTGGCCCAGAGTCGGTCTGGCTCGAACGGTTGGCGCCGTCGGGGAGCGCCGCTCGTGTAGGGTTGTACGATCCCCGCAGCGTCGGAGGCCCATGCCGAACTCGTCACGACACGAGTTTGCCGCAGGGACCCAGCGTGGTTGAGATTTCCCGCGCAGCGCCAGTCCAGGGAGGCGCTGCAGAGTCGACGGCGGGGGCGCCAGGTCCTGAAAACAGCTTTCGAAAAGCTGGTTGTCTTCTGGGCGCTGGGGGGAGTTTATTTGGAAGCCGGGCCTGTCTCAGTGGAGTGGAGTTGAGCGGACTTGATCGCACGGGTACCCATCTGTCGTTGAAAGTAGTTTTTTTTTTTTTTTTCTTCCGTTTTTTTGTTTTTTCTTTCTGGATTTCCATATTTCAGTCTACGTTAAGCGCCTTCCTACTTCAACGATCGAGTGGCTTCACCTTTTCCCTCCTCCTCAGGGGGCAAACAGAACCCAATCCACTTTCAGCGCCTTCCTACTTCATGTTTCTGCCTCCTTCTTCCGACCGGTGGGTACTCCAGATTTCGTAACAAAAGGGAGGGGGTCTGGACCCTCCCAAGACAAGCCATTTCAGACCTCCCCCGTGGGAGAACCCTCCGAAACATCGTCCCAGACCCCCCAGGCCCTCCAAGATAGCCTGGAAGAGACCCCCCCCCGAAATGAGACCCCCCTCCCTTTATTACGAAATCTGGAGTAGGGTGGGCGGCGAGAGGAGCGAGGCAGCGCAGCAGAGCGCACACGGGCGGCGGACGGCACCCGGGCCCCACGGGAGAAGAGCTCCTGCAAGAGGCGCGCGCGCAGCATGGCGCCGTTCGTCGTCCGTCGTCCGTCGTCCGTCGTCGTCCGTCGTCGTCGTCGTCGTCGTCGTCGACGTCGTCGTCGTCGTGGTTGTCGTCGTCGTCGTCGGTCGTCGGTCGTCGTCGTCGTCCGTCGTCGGTCGTCCGTCGTCGTCGTCGTCGTCGTCGTCGTCGTCGTCGTCGTCGTCGTCGTCGTCGTCGTCGTCGTCGTCGTCGTCGATCGTCGGTCGTCCGTCGTCGGTCGTCCGTCGTCGGTCGTCCGTCGTCGGTCGTCGTCGTCATCGTCGTTGGCGTCGTCGTCGTCGTCGTCGTCGTTGTGCAGCCGCCCGCGAGTCTCCCCGAGCAGGAGGACGCCGCCGCGGCGGGCCCAGCCCGCGTGGCGTTCACCGACCGGAGCATGAGGCTGCTGCACCAGGACCCCGCGGGGAGGATCGAGGATCGAGGCCTCCCCTCCTCTTCTCGGCGGCGGGCGAGGGGGGGAAGCGCGAAGGAGAAGGCCTTTCTCAGAAGGCGAGCGACGGGGGCAAGTTTCGGGTTCGAAGT